TATCACTTTTTTGAGTGAGCTGAATATATTGTATATAATGAAAAAAAAAATTTTAATTAGAATCTCGAGTTTTCGATTTTATTCAGTGTCCCTTGATTTTATCAATTAGTACATTGAGATAAAGTCTTGTATGGGAATATGCTTTAGGTAGTTTATAATGGTCTCAATAAACGATCAAGAATCTGTCGAGCTGCAGGAATTTTTATATTGAAATACCAGAAAATCCTGAAGGAAAATGGACGTTATAATATCGTCGGAAATAAGGTAAGAATTTTGATTATCGATCAATTAGAGCATATTATTTGCGCGGTGAGATCGTGATGTTTCGAGTTATTAAATGAATAAAATTCTCATGAGATTCAAACGTGAAAGTAACATGAAAGTACCAGCGATGTTACATCACGTTGCGATATAATTTCATTGAAATAAACTCAAATTTTTTAAATAGATGATCCGTTTTTTTTATTAATATAGGTGTGTAGTTTTTTGTTACTTTTGCAAGAAATTAGCATTAAAATATTTTTATAAATAAGATTAAGATTTAAAGCTAATTTAAAATTGATAAAGATAATGTGTATTAGAAATTAGATAAAGATTATTTCTATAATGCAGTAAATATTTATGTCTCTAAAATTTAATTGGCGAAATGTACTTCATTTTTAAATGTTTATGAGATAAAAAAATTGAATATTTTAACAGGAAGTTTAAATCAGTCAAAGACCTTATGAGTGAAAGGAAGTGCGGAGAACTCGACATTACCTCTTATATGTATAAGAATTCTATTACTGAGAAGTTTCGTTACATTAAATCGCGCATGGTATCGTGCAGGCATGCATGTAAAGCTATATGTATCAGGTTTCATTACAGCGAATATTTCCGCGCGTGTTCCTTTAATATGATATCCATTCTACTGAGAACTCAATTTTCAACAGTGCAACATATGCAGTTTTGTAATTGTCGAGTATTTTTACGCCACACGTCTTATCTCTACCTAAATTTAGCGCTTTACAATCCCATTTTTTTAAATAATACAGAAATCAAATTACACAGAATTAAATAATAAAGAAATTTATATCTATAATACTGATTCTACAATAAGTCTGTAGTCGGCAGTTTTAGTCTTAATCGGTAAAGTTGACCAGCGTTAGTCATTTAAGGTGGCTATTAGTCAACTTCACCGATAAAACTTAGGATTACCGACTCATTGAAGATAACAAATTCTCGTTTCAAAGAGAAGACAAAGCAAATTCTGTGAAAAGTATAACATTCCTTAATCTTCTATCGGCAACGTGAAATCACCTCTATGAAGTTGGCACCTCATGTTTCATTTTTTGGAACTTCACAGAGGTGAAATTTTCATCCTTCGTTCACTTGTGTATAGATTTTCGAATTTTAGTGTATATTTCTACATTGTTCCGGACTATATAAAAATCTAAAAAAAATGTTTAGAACACATACTTGTGAGAGCTTTAATAATGAGTTTTTACTATCATAAAAATTATTTATTTTTTTACAGATTTAAATTTGGTTATTCTCTCAGAATTTTTAATAAAAAAAAAACAAATATGCCTTTAAAGTACAACATTGTTGGTGAAAAATTAATCACTCGAAAATTGCAAAAAATATACGTTTTAGTCAACCTCGCGAAAACTTTCGTGAAAGAGATCAAATAATGATGCGATTTATGCCCGTTACTACCAATTAAATAATAGATTAACTTTAATCTCAATTCAATTTACTCTCTAAATTTTTTAAAGTGGAATCTTATTCTAAAAAGTAAAAATTAAGCTCTTGAAATAGAATGGTTCAATTTTCAATCTTTAAGAGTGATATTTTACTCTTCAGAGATTAACTCTAAAAGTTTTAGAGAGTACTTTTCTGGTTTTAAGAAAAAAAATTAAATATGATGAAAAATAAGTTTAAGTGAGATTAAACTTAATCTACATTGGAAACAGACATAAAGGGATTCTAAACTAAAAATCGAACGTCAACACTATGGGCAGAAGAGTCTTGCATATCACATGATACAAAATGAATCAACCAAAAATCCTTCATTTCCTTCCTTCTTTTCCATGAAATAAAAAACTCTAATTGATTAATTTTTTTATGCTTTATGCATTATGCGTTTTGCAAGGGTCTATGTTCCGATTTTATCATTGTTTTGAATGCGATATAAACTGGGTTGTTCCATCTTCGATATAAACTTCAGCTCACTCTCTTATTTATCCATTAGATAAATTATCACTTCGGATATAATTTATCCGTAGATGGAACAACTGACCGTTACACACGTATGATTTACGAACATCGATTATATCCTTATATGTATATAATATACATATATTATTACATTAATACATATCGTACCTATATATATGTATAAATCTTCGCAACAAAAATTTTCATATTGGATTAAGTAGTATCTAATCTAATTCTAAGAATTTCTTTGATCGTGTAAATTACTAGTCTGGAGACTACAATTTCATAAATATAGATTGTAAAGTTTTATATCAAGTAAATGCATATTGCCACTTGACAACTTTAGACACCATATTAGACTAAGAAATCATAAAAAAGATCTCAATTAAAACATTTTTTTTTCGTTCTTGGCATAAGTCGTCTCACAATCACGTATCAATGCATATACTTACTTTAATTCTGGAAAAGAAAATTATAAAATATATAACGATGTTATAAAAATTATATATGTTTAGTTGGTAAAACAGATGACTTTAGGAATATATGCGTGCATATTTGAATAAAATACGCAAATACGTGTTCGAATTGATCCTCGCCATAATAACTTTATCGTCAGACAATGTAAATTCTCAGATGAGGGTTGACGATATTGGCTACAATTGGATCAATGACGGTGAATCACGATCAATTAGCGGTCGCTCGTGGGGGTGTGGAGACAAGAGGCGGTAAATAAAAAATATCCGTTGCGGGTTCGCGTTGCACACGCAATTATTCTTATCCCCGATCCGACAGGTATCCGCTTTCACCGCCGAGCGAAAGGGAACGTTTCGAATTATCTCCTTCATTTATACTCGATTTCGCTTAATATCTATTTCTCAATGTAGAGTAATGTTAAACTAATTGAGTAATTTACTCAATGTAGAGTAACGTTAAACTCGGTTAAACTTGTTCTTCATCTTTTTCTAATTATTAGAATTAGAAAAAAGTGAAGAATAAGTTAAACCGAGATTAAAGTTAATTACCATTAGCGAAATACAAAAGAGCAAGAAATGTATTGTAACTCTGTGTTTACGCTGAAAAATCAGACTAACACATTCACAGAATACATTCACTTCTTTATCGGTCGGAACAGTCTCTGATGGCACCGTAACATATGTTGTGTCGTTGAAGGTGACTACGCGACGATACAAAGAAATGCAACGATGGGGAAAAACTCAAGTGACAATGATCATAATGATACATCCGCATCGAGGAAATTTGTTTCACGGTCGACCGCTGTAATTGAGTAATTCGTGGAGATTACGTCTTTCTAAACTGCGTTTCTAACTGCGTGTTGTGGATAAAGAGAATATTCAGCTGAAATCATAAGGCCGCAGCACAGACTTTTGCATAACGCATAACGCACAGCGGATAAGCGAATCAACTAATCAGAATCTTTTCTTTCCTCTCATTCCATGAAAAAGAAGAATTTCGCTTGATTGATTCCCTTATGCACTATATATGTATTAGGTCATTTAAAAAGTATTCGCGGTTTTTTGTTTAATTTTTGAATGAAAAAACCGCGGATACTTTTTAAATGACCTAATATTATGCAAGCGTTTATATTGCAGCCATTCGAATAATAGAAAATGCACTAGGTATATACGAATCGTAATTTAAAGATACAGAGGATTTTCAATGGTTTAGTTGCATCAAGAATCGTCAAATGCAGACACAAAAATCTCAGATGAAACTAACCAACGTTTGTGACTTCTAATAAATATTTATACTCACTTAAAATATATATAATATATATATAATTTGTTCAATTTTACTAATTTCACTAGATATAAGATCGATTCGTTTTGCAATTACTCTTTTTTTTTTCTTTTCAACGCGAAAAGAAAAATAAACCATGCAAGTTTAGATAAAAGAATAGACCTATTGTCTGAATAAACTTTCAGATATCAGGAAGTTTGAAGCCAGTTTTGCACTAAGAGAATTAAAAAAAAAATAAGAGGAAAAGAAGAGGAAAAAGACCTTCACCGGCATCTCTTTGATATTCGTCGTAAATATCAGGATTTAAATTATTTAAAAACTATTCCAAAGCTTTAATGCCAAAGTGGAGGTCACATAAAATCGTTTCGCATAGCATTTCCATTCTGCTGAGAGAAGGGTAGAGACATTGGTTGCATTCAGCAGAGAAAGCAGCTTGCAACTGTTGTAAAATTCTTCAATACGATTGGTTCTTACTTTTGATTCCTTATGGATCTAAATATAAAAAAATAAACCAATCATAATGAAGAATTTTACAATAATTATAAAGTTGCTTTCTCTGTTGAATGCAGCCACTGTGTTAGAAATGCCTCAGCCAGGGGAGATAAGAATATAACCGAATGGAAATAATTGATGTGGTTCATTACTCCCCCTGCAAATCGATTAGCAATGAAATTATCGACAAGATGAATAGAGTTAAAAAAAAAACATTTTTTGATAGTTATTGATGAAACAAATTGTCTTTTGTGATCACTCCTGACAAATATTTGTATCCAAAACGTTTATTCGACTTACTCAGTTTTTCGTTTTTGTATTGTTTATTTTTTTTCAAGATGAAGGGCATATGAGAAATTCGTTCGGGAAATATGCGAATATGACTTCGCGCAGTAAAAATTGCGAAAAATCGCGCTTATTGTTATGAATCGTGAAGAAAATTGAGTTGGCAAACTGTTTTCTTTACTTTGAACGGAAGAAAATGTGGAATAAAATTATTCAAGTTATTCAACTATACATCTGGATACATCTAGATTTTCGGAGTCACTTACTTTTGCAAAGGTTATACGATGCTGTGCGATGGCGAACAGACGAATCAAATCGAATTATGATGATGGAATGAGACAGATTCTTGGGAATGCGACTTATCACCGTTCTTTCTCTTCGTTCGTCGAACGTAATCAAACAGTCACTTGCGAGTCCATTAGCGAACTCAAGCGAACAGTACAACTTTCACACCGTAATGAATTTTGCCATCCGCCAGTCGCCTACCGTCATCACGAACTATACGCTATACGCGAACCAAGAGTTGTTTTCAATTCACAAATAACTGCCATATCTTTGATTATTCAAGTCTGTGTTCGGAAATGTTATCCGAAGATCCGAGTATCAGAGAATCGATTCTGTATCTTGAAATGAGGTGAAAATGACAAAAGTGAGCGAATTGCACATTGACTATAAGTTCGATATTATATCTCAGAGTTCTGATTGGATGGCTCGTTATCCCCTGTTGCCTGTACCTATTGCCTGTTGTGTTTAAACCTATAGTCGAAATTTAGGAAACGGAATATCAGAAAAATAATATAATCAATAAGAATTATTTAAGTTTAACGCATTCGTGTAACGCGCTAATCTGATACTTTTCCAAGATTCCGTTTTCCGAAATTCTGACTGTCACGAGTCAGCATTCTCATCGTTTACATATTATCAGCTTTAAGGTACATTTTCACGTTTTCACGAGCCATATAACTCCTGCACACTGTACGTGGAAACGTTTACCGCGCGACAAAATGTGATGCGGTAGCCAATAAGATTACACTTCTTAGCATGTTCATTGGTTACCGTGTCTTATTTTGCCACGCGGCAAGCGTTTCCGCGTTCAATGTGCAGGAGCCATAAGTTGACTCTGAATCGACTATAGCTTCCAGAAAATGGACTGAAAATGGTCTGAAAAATGGACGTTCGTAAGTTGACTTTAGACGATTTGGAGACGTCTCTAAGTCATACACTGTCCCACTTTAAACCGACTTTAAGTCAATTATTCTAGGCTGTGATCCGATTCATGCCCACAACGCTCATGAACAGCATTCATCTTTGTTTAACTATAGTTAAACAATTTTTTTTTTCTCCCATTTATTTACAATCTGTCAATAAGACACTAAGTAAATGTTATATTTTACAAAAGTTGAGTAACATGTAAGTAACTCTCCCACTGGAAAGCACTCATTTACAATTATATTAAAATGGATAATATAAGTAGTTATAGTATGAGGCTCAAGTTAAGAATACAGTAAATAAAATATAAATTATGAATTTATGAAAAATGTCATAATCGTTGGAATTTCTTCAGTCTTGAATTTTCCCTATTTCTGTGTAATACTGCAGCCAATTTGTTTGGGTGGGTTTTGAGTCTATCTTTATATCTTGAGCGGATCCTTGTTATTTCCTCTTCAACGGTTTTAATGTTCAGGTCGTTCCGAATGATCTCATTCGGCACAAACCAAGGTGCATTTGTGATTATTCTTAAACACTTAGACTGGAACCTTTTCATTATATTAATATTGGACTTAGAAGCACTTCCCCAGAGTTGAGCTCCGTAAGTCCGGTTTAAGGATACATTTGTAAATGAGAATTTTGTTAGACATTGATAATTGAGATTTCCTGCCAATGAGCCAGTACATCTTCCTTAGTTTCAGATTTAACTGCTTACGCTTAGTCCAGATATGTTCTTGCCATGTAATACGACGATCCAAATGCATCCCGAGATATTTAACACGGTCATGTTGAGGTATTGTTTTGTCGTTGAGAAGTATTTTAGGGCAAGTCATTTTACAAAGAGTGAAAGTGACATGTGTAGACTTGTTTTCGTTGATCTTAATTCTCCACAACTGGAACCATTTCTGTATTTTGTGCATATATTCTTGTAAGTTCTGTGAGGCTAGGATTGGGCTCGAGTTAATGGATAGTAATGCAGTATCGTCTGCATATGTTGCAGTTGTGATGTTATCTTGTGATGAGGGTA